GCTTTGGCTGTGACGCTTCAGTTGTAGTTATGTTCCGTGGATTCTGCAGCGGATTCCCTGACCTACGCGCATCTATTTGCACTCCAAACACCATTTGCGCGTTCAAATAGCAAAACACGCGCGCTTTTAAGGCGTCACTCAACGTACAATAGAGTAACACTATTATGATGGGCAAACACGTCGGGGTGACACTGTTATTATGTGCAAACACGCACGTGGCAACACTTTTCTGCCACAAATAATATCAATTCAATTTCAAGACTTACCGAGATGAATACATTTACTATAGGAGAACTTATATGAGTTTTGATCTGACCTGATCTAGGTGAATTTATTGAATTTATTATAAAACAAGATAGAAGAATGCTATAGTCGAGTTCGCCGACTATTTGATACCCGCTACTCAGCTAGTGGAAGTGCAAACGATCAATTTCAACATTTTCTGGAATATCGGTAGAAATTGGGAAAAAATGAAAATTTTTTTAAAAGTGTGGGCAAATCTATAAAAATTTACAAAATATATAAAAAAGTGCAAAAATACCACTTTATTTTTAAAAAGAGTGGGCGTTAGAGTAGAGTGGGCGGTAGAGTGGGTGTTGCAAAAGTGTTGCCCAATCGATAGAAATATACAAGACTAATAAAAACGAAAAAAATTTTCAGCTGGCCCACAGAATGGAAAATACATATTGAAAGATAAAATATTACATATCCATGACTTTCGGAAATAAAGGCCACAATAACGCACTGCACTTTGTATAGATAAGAATCGATTGCCTGGTTTCATTTTAATGCCTCGATGATTTAGTATGAACTTTGATTTGTCAAAAACCCCTGATTACGGCTGCTTTCATGCAGTGTTCACATACAGGAGATATTGTTTAGGTAACACTCAGCATACCTTAAGAAGGTATTTTTAATATATTTGAATCCATTATCGCCATGGCCTTTTATGCTCAGGCTCAATGGGTTTTCAATATCACGTCACTTTGGCGGAATGACCAGCACTTTTTTTGTATGCACATATATCCATTTGCTCCCATATTTCAGTCATGACGCATTTCAGCCATTTTAGGGTGATAAACACGGTCCATACAATGGCTTGTGGGAGAAATGGAAGACTTTAAAACTGTTGTTCACATCGTGCGAATAGTGCAGAGAACATGGCAATCAATGGGAGAAAGGTACTTGGGCGAAGTACATCCATACATGTGGATATGCATACGTATACGTAGAATTTCCCAATATTGTTAGCCTTAAATAAAGCGAGCTGATATCAGCCATATCAGCCTTTCAACGTGAGGTAGGTGCCCTGATTTCGATTCTGTCCAACCACCTGACTTTAAAAGCCCGCCAGAGGTGAGTACGGCTAGACCAAGTCGTGGGATACTCATAAATTAAATGGCCTGTATTTTAATCAACTGATAAGTTTGCAGCCACTGAGTGCCGGCCACTGCTAGCATAAGGCTGAAACCACACTTACCATTTGCTACATTTCCTATGAGAAAGGGAAAATGCATGCACGTATATGTTCCTGTTCTGGTCAGGATCAGGGATTCGATACTTTTGCCTTCCATATGCTGGCGCATGGGGTGCAAAATGGAAAGCATACAACTGTCAAGGGGAACGACTTTAAGCCCTTGTCGCCACTGCTGTTCTTTCCACCTGAGACTGGGGGCCAAATTTGATAGCAGGTGGTGTAGAAACTCGCTGCTCTTTGGTTTTTGGGCTCGGTTCGAATTTTGGTCGCGTCATTGCGTGTGTTTCTTTTTTTTTTGTTTTTGTTTCTAATCGTTATCGCCCACTCGATTTATTGATAAGTTCAATTTGTATTCCATTTCACGGCAACTTGAACAATTTGTTTTGGTTTGCCGGTTCCGATGGGAAAAACAACGCACAGCTTTCAGCGGCCGCAGCCATAAACTAAAAATTTGTCTGTTGCTGAGGCCAAAGTGTGCACCTATGACAATAATAGCGTCTTTCAACGATATTCCCTTGTTATGAAGTTCATAAATGATTTACAACTAATTTGGGGTATCGTTTGCCATTTCTGCGCAGACTTTGGAAGATAAGCCAGAAAAACAACCTTAAGTACCCGAAATGGACTTTAAACCAGGGATGAATGTGCGCACCTAACTGGTGATGTCCAGATATAAAAGTGTTGGAAATGTATATATACCACATGAATTAGTTCCAGTTGGGTAGGGATGCAAATACCACATTGATTTCTCAGTGTTGTAATGACTTATAATTTACATTTCTAAATGCAAATGTCCCTTGCTAAAGGGTTTTCCTTATGTCTTTTATTTGAGTCTGATTCCGTGTTGGCCTTTGGGCAGAGTAATTAGTATTAAATCATTCAGCAGTAAAATGGGCGCTCTACACCCGAAGTTTGTGTGAGTTTCATCGTCCCTGGAATTGTTTGCTATTTGCGGGAGCCTTTTAAAGCTTTCAATGTCTGGGTCCAATGGCAACTACTCGCAAAATAATTGATGAGATACTGGGACGAGCGGCGTTATATACTCGTACAAGCATTGTAGTGTGTTTGTGAGATAGTGCGCGAAATACACACGAAGTGAAAACAATTTGACAATAACAAAAAATCAGAGAGAAAACTGGGCTATGACGCTAGCAAACATCTGTGTGAATTGCGATTTATCAGAACTGAGGTATTTTGGAAATCACTTCGATTTCTTTTCACCATATGGACATATGCTTGGCAAATCGAAGAACTTGCAGGCTCCAAGAACGAGGGTAGGATTTGAAGTACCAGCAACATAATTGTAGTTGGAATATTGCTTTAATGTTTTGAACTTTCATAAGTTTATTCCATTGTTTCCTTCACTTTGCTGTTCTGTTGAAGAAAGTTCTTTGTTTCAGACTTACTGCTCCTTGATTTCGCCAACATAAAAGTGGCTCTTTAATCTTTTTGCTCTCGGATATTAAAAGGAATTTCGGCCTACGAGGCTTGGGGGATTTAAATCGTTGTTTGCGTACACAAACTTTGTTTGCGCTTTGAAGAAATAAGTAAGCACTCGAATGGTTAAACCCAAATAGTTTTAGGCTCCTGAAAAAGCATTCCTTAGTGGCCGTTCTCAAAAGTTAAATTAAGGGGATCAAGGAATTTGAGCGATTAAATCCAGCTAATTGCTGAATTCCAAGCAATGGGCCCAGAAATGTCGCTGTTTGGTCTTTGACTGCCATTATTTATCAATTGGGGCGCGTGTTTAAGTAGATTAAATGGGGCTACTTAATCATGTGCTGGTATATAGCGTATATATACTGTATTGATACTGTACTTGTGTCGTTGCCTCCACCTTTGTTGACCATGCTCTCAATAATAAATAACATGCTTTTAAGCTGTAATAAAACGCCGGGGGGAGGGAACCCCTGCCAGGTGCGAGCATGCTGGAGCAGTGTGATCATTTTCAGTTTAATAATTAGTGGAGTAACTGGCCTGACAGAATACCTAATATATAGCGTCTATATTGTGCGTCGTACACAATCACAAATGCTGGGCCCAAACGGCGACACTTTGCTTATCACTTTAAGTGGCCCCTACCGCGCCGAAAAAATGAATTGCAAGCCCAAAATCGAAAATAACAATGGCACAATCTAATAAAAATTGAAACACCACCCACCTCCCTACCACCCTTCCAGCAAATCGAAGGGGTAAGTGCCGCAGCACGAGAACACCAATTTTGGTGTCCCCAAAAGGGGGCGTGGCATGCGGCAATTACCTGGGTGAGAAATCATCGCCCATCTAGATTGATCGGAGTCAACTGGAATATCAATTACGCAGTTTGCGCCGCAATTGAAGCGATCATCAATAACGAACGATAAAAGTAATGCACGCACATGAGAAATTACTAGGGGAGTTCCGAGAAATTCAAAAAATCAAGAACTTTGAAGACTAGAACTTTCAAGCCCAGGAAAGCCAAACGCCTTCAAGTGGGATTCTTCTATGTGGGACTCACCATTTGCGGTTTACTCTGCGCTCGAGTCTCCTCCAGTTTGTTGACTTTTCAGCTGATGGCCTCGGAGGCAACAATTTTGGGTTTTCAAATTTTTGTTTACGCCCAACACTTTTTCGGGCTCTTTGCTTTCCCCATCCACTGGGCAGTAAACATTCACTCGTCGAATTTGTATAATTTTTTTGGGAAAATAAAAGAAACAAACACTGGGTGCTTTTCGGGGGCACTTATGCGGGATATTTGCAAAATAATTATATTTCCGTTCATATATATTTCACAAACAATTTCCACACTTTGTTTACTTTGGCATATTTATTTTTAAACTTGTTTGATTTCCATTATTAATGATTTCCTTGATTCGTTCACCATAATTACACTAGTTGGGCCATCTGATATGCACTTTAATTTATTGCATTTCCGTTTCCGCTTCGCACACGCAGAATACCGAATACCGAACTCGCTTTGTATGCACTCGCACTTATAATATTATGCATCAATATTAATTCCTTCCTTCCGCCCTTTCACACTGCCCATTAAACAGGCATTATTTAATCACAAATTCAATTTCGCACTCTCACTGCTTCGATTTACGCGCCAACAACGTGTTTAGACGATCAAGCGATTTGAAAACTCAGCTGGATCGCGGGAAAAATTACGTAGCCGCCGCGGAGTCCGCGACAAGTTGAAGCAACAAGCGTTTTTGGCCGAATGATAACAATTGCCGACGGCCAACCTTTGCTTTTGCATTTACTGCGAGCTTTTACGCAAAAGCTCCACTGCACGCATTGTATATTTGGGTGTCGGATGCGTGCGAATGGTACAGTGTGAATTCCTATAGTACAGAATAGTCTGAATGGTACAGAATATTCCCAACTTTGTTTTTATTCTTAAATTTCCTTCAGTGTTGCTCTAAAATTCTGCATATTTTGCCCACATTTACGCTATAAGTATACGCACTTGAGAGATATGCAATATGCGGCCCTAATATTATGAAGTATTCCTGCAAGTGTATAAAGCATACAAATTTAAATTTCCCGCCACTGTGCGTAGCTAAAAAGCGAGTATGGCAACGCTGCAGATGGGTTTGAGCAGTTGTTTTGGTGCTAACGCATTCTTGAATGTTTGAGTAAAGTTGCCAGATGGCAGGCAAAGAAAAACGTTTCATTTCAAATTCTGAAAGTGATGAAAACACAAACCCAATCAAATATCACACCTTTTTTTTGGTTTTGGCAAACAAAATGTATATACATTATTCACTCCAAACATTATGACTGGCATTTGCCAGTTGAGCAGTGCCACAGTCATAAAAAAACTGGTTTGACTGGTTTCTCCTCGTTCTTTGTTTGACTGCAAGCTGTAATTGCACACTGGCGAGCGGGAAAACAAAGGAGTCGGGATGGGAAAACCTCCCCGCATCAGAAGTGCTTCAAAAAGAGCAGTGAAAACACGACTGAGAATGAAAACACCCCCGCAGTAGAAGTAGAAACTCGTAAACAAAAACTAAACAAAAGCAGTGGCGTCGTTCTGCGGGAGGGGGTTCGGTTTTCAATGGAAAGACAGCTGATTGCGACTCTCTTGCGCTCTCCCACGTTATCTGTGCTGCTCCCTGGGAGAACTAATCAGCGCGGTTCATATTTTCAACTTTCCTGAATTCATTTTCATTCCGTGCCATGCCAACGGCCGCAAAAGATCGCGCTGTTCTTCGGTTCTACGCAAGATATAGACACCTATATACGTAATTACGCGCGGTAATACTCAGTCCAGTAGCAGTAACTGTGTGTGCGGGTGTGCGTGTGTGCGAGTGTGCGTGTGTGCGAGTGTGTAAAGTGTGTGAGCTGCACTTGCCTTATCAGTTGCATGGGCACAGTGATAATCGCTCAGAATCGAACTGAATATTTTTGTGGTTTGGTGGGTCTAGCCTTTGGCCCCGCCACCCCCTCCGCAGCCGTCCACCCCTGGCCCTGATAAGCCGCAAAAAGCCTCAGAACCTGATATACTTTTTAGTCAGAACCACATACTAAACACTTAGTTGGGCCGCCCAGAGCAACAACAACACCGCTGCGAACTGGTAGCTAGCCATCGCGAAAGACGTGGAAATGACGGAGGGCCCAATAAGTCGTCGGCTGGGCCAACACACATACACTCGCAGATAAATCAGCTGCTTTTGGGGGAGCACCGCCAGAAAATAGGGCCTGGTGCGATTAAAAGTGCGTCTCAGTTGCTCAAAACAAAGGCCCGAGAGAGCGACGTGCTAAATACACGTAAATACACACGATTTGCATCATAAAGAAGAAGCTCGAGTGCAATTGGCGAGCGCTACACAACCAAACCAAAACAAGGGGGCATATCGACTTTTGGAGAGTGGAGAGCAGTATTCAAAATATTCTATTAACCAATGTGGCTATAGAAAGAAATTTAAGTAAAGTATTCATTCGTGACATATCTTAGAGAGGAAGAAATTAAGGCGAGTTCTTATGGGGTTACAAATAATAGCTATGAGTATTTAAAGGCTGGCCGCATTTGCTGTAGCGCAGTAATCCGTTGTCCTCTCTACTCCCCCGCGGCGCACGTTCTGTATGAACGGCTCTACGTGTGGCAAGAACAACAAACATTGTTTATGCCAGGGGCGCAGAAAGGGGGTTACCGGAAAACAGAACCTGGGTATTTGACTTCGACCCCCCTTGAATTTGTGTTGTAGCCCGCCCCTGTCCGATGCTCTCTCGGTTTACATGGGAGCCCATGTGTTCGTGTGCTATTCTTGTTTTGGGGACATGGTCTGATTAGCAACAGGCGACTGACAGTTCTCAGCCGTTCGACTTTTTATTAAATGGGCTGTCTGCCGGTCTCCCAGAGCCACTCACCCTTTGAGCCCCCCTCCCAACGCCCTTGGCCAGAAGGCAAGAGCTGGAAAGCGAATGAACTCACGCACACACGGACACGACGGAGAGCGAAATTAAAATTCAAATGAGCAACAGGCACGCACACACTCAAACACCGCGATATACCAAATATTATTTATTCTAATTGCTTGACGCGCCTCAAAATTAACGCAAAACTCAGGCCTACGACGAGCAAACGGAAAGTGGAAATTAAATGGAGAACGCGAGCTAAATAACACAGAGATAAAAGTGAAACCAAAAAAGCCGCAGGATCAAAAGTGCTGGACAACATATAGAATCTAGAAACCCAGAAATCTTGCAATCACGACATGTCCAGTTGGAGTTTGGCCAGTGCCGTGTCGCCAAATGTCACCGGTGGCGATGTCATCCGGTTGAACAACCTGAAGTCCAGCTCGGAAACGCATCTGCCATCTCGGGGATCGGGAGCGTCTGGAGGTTCTGGAGCATTACCTCGTCCCACGACGCCCGTGCCCGCCAGGAAACTGTCATCCAAACGACCGCCACACTTGACCCTCAACATAAAGGCCAAGTCCCACGATGCTCCGCTGGCCGAGACGGAAAACACGGCGCTCTCGACCAGTGAATCCGTCTATGGAACTCCGACGGGCGCCACACCCGTTTCGTCACCAGCCAACCGAAGTCAACGCAGTCAGGCGAGCCAGCATAGTGACGAGAGCCGCCACAGCAGCAGCACCGCCACCAGCGGAGGTTCCATATTCCCCCACGAACAGTACAAGTCCATCAAGAAGATCAACATCGGCTTCGAGAACATAAGCTACACCACCAAATTCGGAGTCTTCCAGAGGGGTAAGTGGCTACTCTCAGTCCTTATGCGGTGATCATTGTCTTTTTATCCATAGTCTTGATTATACAAAGACTATAAAGATCGGAAACAGCCAGTTTGATAGAACGACAAACTTACCACACTATAGGAAACCTTATATAGGAAACTATAAACATCAACGTCGAAAAGGTCTATAATGTTTTGTTTAAATTTCAATTAGGAATAGTCACTTTGAAAGATCCACACAGCTTTTAGTAGACTAATTGTATAGTATTCAGAACGAATGCAATCAAAAATGTAGTAATTGTAAAATGTTCTAAAAGTGTGTATTCGGAATCGAATTTTAATAGAATTGTTTCAAGGAACGAAATGTTCAAAACAAAGTAAAAGATTTTACAGAGAGAATATGATATTCATTTGCGAGTTTCGATGTAAACAAAAAATATTTTGATATATAATATGTATGCTTGGCAAGGCACTCCATAGTCATAAGGTTTTCGACATATGATATATACTATATAGGATATATACTGAATATGTGGGGGCAAAGCTTGGAGTCCTACTTGAACAAAGCGGTCACCAGGAGAGCTTTCCCCCCAGGGTCATAAAATGCTTTTGTTTTGCTGCCAGTCACGCATTGGCGGCAATTATAATTAAGGGCTTGCTATCTGCTATATGTGTATACTAGCGTGGTAATGTCCAGTAAACCCAATTAAAATGAACAAATTCTCTGACACTCGAAAGAGTCGCTTAAATGAATGGTCAAATAATTGGCTTTAATGGCAAAACCATCAAAACCAAAATGGAGCCACAATTATTCAAATCGTTTGTGATATCTGATAATGTTTCGGTTCATCAATCTCGAGATAATGGTTTTTGAACTGCACCCGCAATTTCTTAAGCACTTTGGTAATTTTGAGATTAGGACACTTGGGTATTATCAGTTGCTTGCCACTGTTCATGAGATTTAAATACGGGGCAAGGTCCGCTTTGCAGGAAAAAAACTGAGCAAAGCGCAGAATATCGGCTGCGTTTATTAGATATATGTAGCCATCTCAGACTTTTCAATTCAGTATATTGACAAGCTGCTGATTGGGCAATCACTGGGTTCAAAGAGCCTCTTAAATTAAATTGAACACATCTTGGGCACACGCAGAAATAAAAGGTGTAGTTGCATGGTCAGGGCCAGCTACTGGGGTCAGGTGTTTTCTATTCAAGTAGAGCCCTTGGACCTACTTGCACATCGTGGAGTGTGGCGGCTTTACTATACTATTTGTTTACAATTCGCCCGGTCAACAGTTTCAATGGCGATAAGAACCGCCCTTTACATCATGAATACATAAGTACCCAGTTGCAGCTAGTGAATACTTTTTTAGAATACCATCGGTTATCGTGAATACAAGAAGGGACAAATATCATGTGACTCACCACTGATAGGTTTTCCCGAAAATAATATATTTCGTTGCGCAGTGAGTCACTCAAGTATCCGATTATGATCCTGGTGGAAATTATGCCACGTGCCTTTCGCTGATTATATGCATGATAAATCATAGACAGTCATTAGAGGGTGATTACCATGAGTTCGTGTTTAGCTAACCACGCCAGACTAATTGAGGTGGATAGCAGTACTGTGCTCTATCCTGCGTAATTGCAACTCACATTATAGTTGGTAAACTCAAACAAATTTGACCACGGCCAATTTACCAATTCGAGGGCAAAGCATAACGCAATCCATAGTTGCTCGGTTTTCATATCTACAAACTACTTTATCGCCCAAAACAGCCATTGATAATAAAATGTACAGCGTGTATAACATACAGCAGTTTTTCAATATTAATGTGTTTTAGATTATTCAAAGTCGGAAACCGGTGAAAGCAAATGGATAGCTAGGTACAAATGATATGAAAACTAGACGGCATGGTTCAATGATAACCACTTGCCAGTCTTGTTATTATGACTGCGAATAAAATAATACTCCATATATGCCCCAGTTAGATATGATGTATCGTATCTGCCATGACATAGAATGGAAAAACGGATATGAAAACATTTATAGCTGATTTTACTGTCTATGAAAAGAGGCGCAAGCGTTTTAATTGAAGTCACTTAGATTTTCCGTTGCTCTTCGCTTGTCTTCATTGCCTCAGTAATTAAGTGAGTTTTCTCATTTTCCCTTTTTAAAGCGCTGCAGACTATTAAATATATTTACAAAGGAACCCGACTTTGAAGCAGACTTTGGATGTGAGTCAGGTGATTTGAGATTGGAGCTTCCTATTTCAATTACGATATTAGCACGCTTTGAATGTAATTGCTGGGGGCAGTTTCCTGACTAATAAAATATGGGCTTTTTAAAATGACCGGCGATCTCTGGTTGTGCGTGCTTAGAATTTTTTAGGAGGCTTAAATTGATACTTTCGCTTTCTCGCAAAAATTAGATACATCTTAAAACGCTTGTTTCGTTTTCTGAGTAGAGTGGCCGCGGTAAATCTAACCTGAAACTTCCAGATAAGGCTTATTGCATTCTCGAAATTCTATTGAATTACCAACGCAATTAACAATCGATTTGATAAGGAATAACTTTACGTGACCTTCTCGATTTCCAATTGGCAGTTGGTAATCCCAATGTAATATGCTGTGTATATGCTGAAAGTGGTCAAATGCAGTTGCCACTCAAAATCCCCCCCTACTAAATGCAGTTCCAAGTACAAGGCCATAGAAATCGCTGATAAGGTGGCCAACTCCGGTGGAAGGGCAATAAACATGGCTCGTTGGACACCTGTTGGCCCAGCGATGACTCTAGTCTAACATCTGGCCCACGGGCATTGAAAAAAGGCGTAAAGCCAGTTTAACGACGAGTTTGGTCATAGAACTTGAGTGCGATAAGATTCCACCACAAAGTGATTGATAAGTGGGCGAGCAGACCTCTGAAATCTAAATTGGACAGGAGCCATGGCTAATCGACAGATTAACCGGGCACATTCGACATTCAGCATGGGCGACAACAATGTATTTGGCCCAGCGAGCCGAACTCCTTGCAAAAATACATTGAACTTAAATTTTATATGGCATTATCATCCATCCACTGGGGATTCAAGAAAGCGTGCAGAACGAGATTAGACAGCATTGAACGACAGTAATCGCGGGCATTGGGATTTCTTATCAGTCGGGATGTACGGGTTGACTTGATGTGGGAATGTGGGGCACTCTACAATGAAAACATGTGCGAGAAACTTGTAAATAGAAGCAAAGTCAATCGGACTTTATTTGCAACTCATTAATACAAGATGTTGTTCAGCTATTCATGTTCCTATTTAAGCAGCCACTCTCAATATTGTACGAAATAATCTTAGTAATCTTGCAATAAACCAATATAGGAATGCAGTTCGAGTTTGATTTAACACTCTTAGTGAGTAATGAAATTCTTGAAAACTGAGGGTTGTTAACGATTAAGTAAGTTTATAGAATCAGCCATAAATCCGACCAATAAATGTAGTGTGACTTCTTGCGATTAAATGATTATAAAGTACTCTTTTACTTGGTAGACTTAACGACACAAGTTTCGCTTTAATTTGCATTGCTCTAATTTCCCGATCCTTGCAGAAACCAAGGATGTCCTAATGGGATTAACAGGCTACTTCAAGTCTGGAGAACTTAGTGCCATTGTAGGACCGTCTGGAGCTGGAAAAAGTACGCTGCTCAACATTCTGTCAGGATACACGTAATATAACCCGCATCTGAGTACTTCTTTCAATCTAAACCAATCCACTTATGCAGAACATATGGCTACACGGGCGATTTCCGGGTCAATGGCAATAGGCGGGATTTGAAGGCCTTCAAGCCGAACGTGGCGTTCATCCGCCAGGATACGAGTCTTCAGGCCTTCCTCTCCGTCAAGGAGGCGATGCATTTTGCGGCCAACTTGAAGATCGGCACTCACATGACACACAGCGAGAAAAGGGAGAGGGTCAAGAGCATCCTGGAGGCCATCGGGATGTACGAAAACCGGCATACGAGGACGGGGCATCTCAGTGGAGGGCAAAAGAAGCGTCTCGCTATTGCCCTGGAGCTGGTGAACAACCCACCGGTGCTGATCCTGGACGAACCTACAACGTATGTTAGGGAGCAACATCAACGCGTATCGACAAACTAATTACTAACGAAACTCGTATCTTTTCAGTGGCTTGGATACTTCCACCTCGAATCAGCTGATAAATCTGCTAAAGAAGCTCGCCATCGAGGGACGCACAGTCATCTGCACGATCCACCAGCCAAGTGCCTTGACCTTTGCCATGTTCGACCATCTGTATGCCATTGGCGAGGGCAAGTGCATTTACGCCGGAGGAGCCCAAAACCTGCTGCCCTTCTTGGGCGCCCTCAATCTGCAATGCCCGGAGTCCTACAATCCAGCGGATTACTGTGAGTTGCCACTGGTAAACACCTTTTGAGATGGCAAATGATCAATATTGACTCAATTAACAGTAATGGAAATAGCAACTCATGACTACGACACGCCGGATGACAACCAGCTGGAGAAGCTGGTGGCCCTGATGGACAATGGTCGCAACGAGGACTACAGACAGAGCAAGACTGCGCGAGTGGCCCAACTGGCGGCCATGAAGAAAGTTGGTAAGGCAATGGCATATTCACCAGTATTGAAGTACAATGACTAACCAATTATACTTGGTAGACCAACTTATGGCGGCGGGACTGATCACACCCGTGACAGCTCCCGTGATGTCCACATCCGCGCCAGGGCATTTCCTGCAGGGCAGCACCTTTAAGCCACTCACTCCCATCAATGAGCTGTCTTCCCGCGTGTGGGACAGTCAAACGGCGGGCATCGGAAACGCTGGCAGCTGCTGTAAGCCAAAGAAGAAAAATAAGTCACGGCCAGCCATAGAATTGGATCCAACGCATCTGTGCAAAAGGCAGAACATCTACGCCACGCCGTTCTACCGCCAGTTGAGTATCCTGCTCCTGAGGACTTTCCTGCTAATTTGGCGGGACAGCTCGCTGACCACAATGCGCTTCGCCATTCACCTCATCACGGGCATCCTAATAGGAACCCTGTACTTAGGGATCGGCAACGATGCCGCCCAGACGCTAAACATCTTCCGATACCTCTTCTACACGATCATGTTCATCATGTACTGTGCGTTCTCGGGAATACTGGTAAAGTGTAAGTATGGCAAATGAGTGACTAGAAAAGTACTCATCATTCTTCTATTGCCCGCAGTTCCGCTGGAGTTCCCCATTGTGTCGCGGGAGCACTTCAATCGCTGGTACTCCCTGCGAGCGTACTATGTGGCCATCACCCTAGCCGACCTGCCCATCCAGGTCATCTGCAGTGCCCTGTTCATAGTGCCCACATATCTGATGACCCAACAGCCGCTGGAGCTCTGGCGGTTCGGCATGTTCTTCCTGATTGTGTTCGTTACGGCTCTGGTCTCGCAGAGCATTGGGTTGGCAGTGGGAGCAGCACTGAGCCTCAAGCTGGGCTCCATTCTGGGACCCTTCTTCATATGCCCGTTTCTTCAGTTCAGCGGGTTCTTTCTGATGGAGAAGGACGCCCCGGTCTTCCTACGCTGGATGTTCGACATATCGTTCCTCAAGTACAGTCTGGAAGGAGCCATGATGGCAATTTTCGGATACGATCGTGAGCCCTTGCCCTGCAGTGAACTTTACTGCCACCTGAGGCACCCCAAGTTCATACTCAAAAGTCTGGACATGGCCGACGGAAACTATACAGTAGCTCTCATCTTTCTGTTCAGCCTTTTGGTCTTCCTGCGCATCCTGGCGTTCTACATCATGTCCTTCCGCCTCAGATTGTTCAGATGAGGCACACGGTTCGAGGGACCAAAGAAAACCTGCCACATTCCGCCGACAGTTAAATGTTTTACTTTTATATTTGTGGTTTCTATTTAAGCATTTATTCGAGAGTAACATATGTGCCAAAGATCGGAGAAGCCGGTAGAGCGTAAGGAAATCGTGATATATATCAGACACACAGGATCATAGAGCCCTCACACAAACACATACACTCACACACTGACAAGCATACACACACGGCGGTAACCGAGATCAATAATTGTAAATAGAACATTTTATAGCATAGCATATAAACAAATGTATTTTTGTAACGTATTAATGAACCATTATTGACTAGTTGTAAAACTGGCCTGAATTTCAGGCGTCGGCTGCGAGTATACATTTGAAAATATTATTAAAAATATTTTGCCATGAAATCTTTAGACTTATTTTTTAACTGTGTAACCTGATGCCTGCCATTGATTATGGACCTTAAATTGTTTTGGATTTGAATAATTTCCCACGAAGTCACTGAGCTTCAATTGTTTCGAGTGCATAGCGAGTTTGTTCGCATTCAAGCTAAAAGATTTCAAGTCTGTGAAAAGAATTAACATTAAATATTTTGTTAATATTTATATATGTATGTATATCGTATTTTTATAAAAATCGCAGAAGTATGCCACGAATTGTGGTCAAACCTGATCGCAACTAAGTGCACTTCAAACATGTTGCCATATGAATTGCGATTAATAGCAGTAGCCGGCATTCGACTTCCGAGCATTTGAAATCAGTCGCGTTTTGAATATAAACAGAAAGTGGTCGGCAATTGGGGATCGCAAGGTCTTTTCTCTCTTTCAGTCGGTTAATGTGATCACGACTTGAAATCTTAATTGACGAGAGGCGTACGAAACAAAATATATACAAAGTCGCGCTCAAAAGTAATATCAATAAAATATCAATTTATGGCTGTAAGACCATAACAAAACCTTTGAAGAGAGTAATTAAATGGCCAGCTTATAAATGCAAACCAGTTTTTCAAGAAAATATGTCGTGCTATTTGAAAATTATAACCACCCGATTTTACAGGAGGTGCATATTTACTGACTGCTGGAAAAGCAGAAATTCCGTGTAAACTGTATTCATTGATAAGCACCAGCTGTGCGAAGTCGCAAATTAACAAAGGCAGTTTTAGAGCCTAACTTCCATTATATTACGCAGATTGGGCTGCTCGAATGCAGCCATGTAAATGTGTGTGAATTATCAGCGGTCATTGTTTCGTGTTGAATGCTCTGTATCAATTACCCAGTGGCGTCGGGCAATTGTAAATTTCACTCTCTAAAGAAGGTCACTTGGTTTCTATAAAATCGGTGCCCGCTTTCGGGCGGCTGTCGAAAAAAGTACAATTTACGTAGCGAGAAAGGAGTCCCATGGATTGTTACTACAATAATACCCATACCTATGGAATTGTTTTTCATTAGCATTAATATTCTCATTCCTTTCCCCTTGGAACATCGCAGAACTACTTTCAGTCCTCTGGTAATCTACGCTCGCCTGACCTCGGACAAGATCCCATCGATACGGAGTGGGTGAAAGTGCAGTGCATTGGAGACGCCATCGGTCGAGCTCATGCAAGTTGTTGTGCAACAAGTTCGTTGGGGCGGGTCGACCTTGATCCAATCCGTCCAACTTTGAGCGATAAGATTATCCGCGATCCTCTTTATAAACGTTAAGTAAAAGCTTCGAAATGTATCAGTAATTGGGAATAAATTGGTTCTGCATTTATTAAAAACGGACCAGTCGGCTGTTCAGTTCACAAAGCCAGTGACCACATTAACGTTCAGAGCCGCGCATAAAAAAAATAAAAAATCGAATAATAACAACTCACCACACGGGTATCTGGTTCATAAGCAGCAATCAGCCGCCGTCTAATGGCCGATAACGCGGTGCAAGCTCAGCCAAATGGTCTGGGCCAAAAGCAAAAGGCGCTGGAGCTGCACTTTAGCCAAGTTAGCTACAGTTTGCAGGGGGCCGCAAGGGGATCCACTCCCATTATCAACGATGCATGCGGGGTCTTCAAATCGGGACGACTTACGGCCATTTTGGGTCCCTCGGGAGCGGGAAAGTCCACCTTGCTCAATGCCTTGGCAGGTTTTAAGTAAGTATCTTTATTGTGTATTTGTGTATATTCCTAACCGTATCTTCCATTGATAGACTCCAGGGAGTTACGGGCCAGTTTCTGCTGAATGGACGCCCCAGGGATATAATGAGCTTCCGGAAAATGTCTGCCTATATTTCTCAAAACTTTGTGATGCTGAATCTGCTCACGGTTGAGGAAACACTGCGAGTTTCCGCAGACCTGAAGATGCCCGGCTCCACAGTTTCCCAGGAGAAACAGAAAATTGTATGCCTCGTTGATAAGTTACCCTTGTGGTTGGAAAATCTAATGGTACAACTCCCAGATAGACGACATTATCGACATACTGCAGCTGCAGTCCTGCCGCAGGACTCTGGTGAAGAATTTATCCGGCGGCGAGCACAAGCGCTTGTCCATTGGCATTGAGTTGGTAACGAATCCGCCCATCATGTTCTTCGATGAGCCCACCAGCGGATTGGATTGTGTGGGCAGCTACCAGGTGATTTGCCATCTGCAGCGACTGGCGCACGACGGCAGGATAGTTGTCTGCGTGGTTCATCAGCCAGGGTCGCGACTCTTCCAACTCTTCGACGATGTCCTGGTCTTGGCTCACGGAGAGGTCCTTTACTCTGGTGAGCAGCGGGAAATGCTGGCTACCTTCGCACAATCCGGCCACATCTGTCCACAGTACTACAATCCCGCGGATTTCGGTAAGTTCTTACCTCCCTCTTGCACCTCAACTAACATAATTCCATATTTATAGCCCTGGAAGTGTGCAGCCAGTCCTCCACCACGGAACGCTGTGAATCGCTCATCACTCGGAACAAGATGATGCACAGCACCGCCAGTAATGTTGTGAAGCTTCAAGTGGATGAGGAGAGTAAGTGATGATGACCGGTGTATTACTCGGGCTGGCTTTTCTCATACAAGTCCTATTTCCGATCTTCTGCACTCGCAACTTACTATTTTCCCCTACTGCACTGCTATCTTCTCTGCTCTATCTGCCGCTTTTCTCTGCCTGCTCCAATTTCATTCCAGCAGCCTTGATTGATGTTCACAAGGACTCCTTGGACTTGGCGCACCTGCGTGGCAAGGAGCAGGTTAATTTTTGGACGCAGCTAAGTGTCCTGCTTCGACGTCATCTGCGCTCCACGTCCAGAGATATGGTGATATGCGCTCTACTATTATATAGCTTAAATAACTCCTTGATTTTCAGTTCGCTGTCCAAATGCGCCTGGTGATGCACGTGGTGGTGGCCCTGCTCTTGGGCGTAGTCTATTGGCAGATAGGTGCCGATGCACAGAAAATCGTGTCCAATGTATCCTGCCTGTTCTTCGTGATACTCTTCGTATTCGCCGGCAATGCCATGCCCTCGATCCTGCTGTGCATGCAGGACTCGGCGGTGTTCATCAGGGAGTACTACAACGGATGGTACTCCCTGGGAGCCTACTATCTGTCCAAGGTCCTGGCCGATCTGCCCCTCCAGCTGACTTGTCCCACAATGTTCATCAGCATCGGGTACTTCATGACGGGTCAGCCTCCGGAATCCCAGCGATTTGCCATGTGCTGGGCCATGTGCGTGATGACCGCCTTCATTGGCCATTTCATCGGGGTGATCGCAGGCTCCCTGTTCCCCATGCAGTTGGCCATATTCCTGGTGCCCAGTGCCACCATTCCGTTCCTCCTGTTCTCCGGCTTCTTCATCCGCCTGGAGGAGCTCTCCTGGTTCCTGCGCCCCATCTGCGATGTGTCCTTCTTTAGGTACATTTTCGAGGGTCTGATGAGGGCCATCTATGGATACGATCGCGGGGAACTGGAGTGCCGTGCCACCAGCAACTTCTGTTACTACAGAACGGCGGAGCATTTCCTCAAGGACTTCCAAATGCAGGGCGATGAGTTTGGTTGGGATTTGGCCGTCCTGGGAATGTTTGTCCTCCTCCTGCTTCTAGCCTTCTTTGTAACCCTGAGCACAGTCATCCGACGGGCTCTTCGGTGATCTGGTTAGTTGGGAATCTGGCCATTAACATTCAACAAATTTGAGGCAGATTGTTAGTGAATGCAAATAAAGTGATATGAATTTTAAACATTCTTCTAAATGTATTTCACAATTCTTCATTTCGACATATTTTTTACAATTATCTACATCGGTTATTATCTACAAATTAGTCGAGACACCAACCGAAATACTTGAATTCGTCATACAAACTTTTTTTGACAATAGAATTCTATTTGAAATACATTAAGTTTTAGAGCTAATTAATATAGCACATTTTTAAACTCCGCGTGTATTATTAAAATTTAATGTCTAATTTCATGCCCTTCTTAATCATTAAAAATATTTTTAATTGCTTTTCACAGCTCCTTCTATTCAAAGAATTCAAGCGGGAAATCCCGTGGATTCCCATCAACTGCTTACAATTATGCCTACAATTTAGATGGAATATTAAAGTACTTCACAGTATATCTGCGCGCCTTAATCTCTTTGATGTTCTATCCGACTGCCGACAGACTTATTTTCTGGCAGCGACATAATTCAAGCCTTGAAAGCGACGTTACTTGCAGCCAAAACACACACTCTCACCCACACAGACATGCAGCATACAGGCAAGGACATCTTGGAATTTTGGCTGACTTACTGCCGCTATAGTCTGAAGTCCCGTGGCCTTTCTGCATCTTCGACACTTTTGGGCTTTGGCCCGAAATGCATTTTGCCAAGCTTTTTGTGCCGCCTGCGAGCGAAACTTCCGGAGGAAGGGGCAGAAATTCCATTATTTTACCCGCAGTCATGTTGCAAATAGATAGCAAATTCGTTTAGGAACATTTCCCTCTGAGCTTCGCACTCAGAAATATATGTGTTTGGCCTGTGAGCGAAATCAATTAGCGTCTTTTGGGTTGGCGAAAGCCCTCAATTTAATTGCCTTTAATGAGAAGCCACCTGTAAGCCAGGCTTCAAGACTTACGGCTAAAGTTCCGTCCCATAATCAATTTAAAGTACAAACAATTAGGGCAGACAGCAAACGTTGGCGAAGGCAAAAATAAATTTTAAAGTGAATCGGAAATATCTGCAAAATTTAAGCAGCCAATTGAAAAGTTTGGGCCTCGTTTTTGAGTTGGCACAAGCATATGAAAAGTTCTTGAACTCAGTAAATCCCCAATGACCCAAATAGAAATGCTGGCGAACAAAAACTTTTTGGGTGTGAATGGGAAAATGCGGACACGTATTCAGATTAGTAGGTGGAAATTTGTTAAGTATTTACGGACAGCATCAAAAGTCTGAAATTTAATAAAATAAACAACGCAGTGCAAGTTCCTTTGCATGCGAAATAATTAAAACATAATGCACTCACAAGGTAATTAAATAATTAAGGGTTTGTTATGTGTCCATTCATTTGTATATGCCCATTAAAACATTAATTCATTTATTAAAACCCCCAATGGACTTCTGTAAACAAACATATTGCTGTGAATAAATGCACCACGGCGGACAAACAAATTGCTTTATGCAACTTTATAAATGGTATCACAAACTTGCCATGTTTTCGTATAAATCAAATCCAGCATATCTGCGAAAAGTGCACAAAACTTTGCGAGCACAACACTTTTGCTTTTATTTCATTTATTTATTTTGTGGCTGCCTCAAGACGTTGCATGCCACGCCCCACGCCCCAACTCCACCGCCTCCGTCAACCTTGGAAATTTATGTGCAACACTTGTTACCCATACGACATGTTGGACGTGTGCAGCGGCTAAGACAAATCGATTGCTGTTGCAGCCACTTCTTTTGTGGCACAAACAATGGCAAGGGCGTAATTTATTGAACACTTTGTTGCACTTGCCACAGACGAGCGATTCTCGGACTTAACCTCGAACCAGGGTCAGATAATCCCCATTTTCTATTGAGATTTATATCGTCTTTAGGTCCTGAAACTTGTAAGCAATTACTCCTCTAATTAATTTTCTTTCAGCAATTAAACGAAAGTATTTTTTATTTGAATATACAAATGACCTAAGGACTGGGCATTCTGTACAAACAGAGGGATTTTGCTTTACTAGAAAACTGATTTTTCTTTGAAGTTGTTAGCTAGCTAAATCTACTTAGAACGGAAAACTCTACTCAAAGCTTACAGCCATTTTAAAATGAAAGGATTTATCAAAAAAGAGCAACTATCTTGTGTATTTGTTTTTTCTCGTTATTTGGTTATTTGGTAAACTTTGCAAGGACAAACGCATTTCTGGCATGAAAACATTATAGCCATCGGATTATTAATAGACTATGCGCATTTTGTGCACTTCATAATTTATTTCTCGCCATTATTGAAATTTTAATTGTTGCAGCCAACGCAAACAAAATGTCGTAAAATTTATTGACACTGTATGCGAAAATGAAATTATAATGAAGTTTTCAAGCGCAATTACCAAAAACATTTATTAAGTTTATGGATAAAAGTTGCCATGGCGTTTCGAGCTGCAACATAGAATGCTTTGGCGGTGGGTTTAATTGGACCATTTGAAAATGTCTGAAATTTAAGCAGAACAAACAAAGCCGGAAAAAAAGGAAAGCCAAAGAAAGTAAGACAATAAAATTGAAATTGTTTTGCAATTGCATTCTGGTTGCCTGGATTCTTGTTTCGTTTGCTTTGGCTTTCAACTTCAATCGCATACTGCTTCAACGAAATGTGAACTATTTGGAACTAAGAACTGTGCAGCGGGTAAAAATCGGCTGAAATATGTTTTAATTAGGCAATTATAACCTGATTTGAGAGTTAACTTAATTAAGTGGATTATAAATTAATTTTGCCGGCAGACTTAAGGCCGCAAGTCCACTTTCTCCCCCAAACAATGAGCGCTCCGCATTCCGGAAGTGAGCTACCCTTTCATTCGCTTCCGCTGCCGTGGCACAACCGCACACAAGCAGTGCGTTTCCGGTTATGAATGGTCGATCTACTTTTCAGTTCGATTGTCTGCGGCTTTAGTGAAATGGCGCTGTTGTTTGGCTGCTGTGCCATTGAAATTGCATCCTGTTTGTTGGCTGCCAAAAACATACATAAGTCCGCAACAGCAACAACTTTTTTGGATGCCACACACCACTGGACTATTTCAAATCCGTATTTGTAACACAAAGTGTTGGAGGCTTAGCTTTCAGGTGGACAGCAAAATCGTTCCACTGGCTTCTAATTCTATTTTGCCCTTCGCCATTTTCGGTTTATTTTTAGCTCTTTACCGGCTTCCCACCGAAAATGTGTCCCGAGTATATATGGAAATCCTCAATCACAACACAGCAATATTGTGTCCGTCTCGGCTTGTTTACTCCTGGGCATTGTGGCTGCCAAAAAAAATCTATTTTGGTTAGTCTTGCGGTTTCCCCAGTTGGCACATAAATATGCATGAAGTAGGGATGCGGCCAGTGAATTTGCATAATGGATATTTAATTGATTTGGGTCTGCTTCGGTGAATTGACACGAAGCATTTGTCGAGCCAAAATAATCAAAGATTCATGTTCAACGAGCGACAATAATAATGGTATTGTTTCTTCTCGTTCAGAAACGAATGGAAATCACAAATACTAAATTACTAAAAAATTAAAAATATTGTTTAAATACATAATATGAAATGCGCCGATTATGCGTCACTGAAAGGGAATAAAAAGCAGAAACTACTGATTAGATTACGCACTGGGGAGTAGTTTATGGTGAATATGTTTCCGCTCTTTGCCAAAGCCCCGAAAATAACTCCTCTTGGCCATAACCTCGTCTCAGTACTGAGTACTTAATTTGGATTACATTCTCTAAAAAGGGCAAAGGGGTAATAAAATCTGTTTATGCTACTTTTATGCCAGCCCAAGCTGCGAAATATCGCACAGCTGGAACCATGGGAACCCTGCTCCCTGGCATTTTTGGCATTCACTTTTATTGTGCGGAGGGTTCAAGGTCTTCAAGGCGAGCTTACAAAGTGGGTGGTGGTGCAGAGCAGTTTTGTCTAAATGGTTGCAGTCAAAGGGAAATGTGGAATTGTGGAACTTTCGGGCCAAAACTAAAGATGCATAAGAGAGTGGTAATCCCGGCAAATGGCGTCTAAATGCCCAAGTTCGCCCAGGGGCACTCGAAGTGCCCCAAATGTCTCCCTGCCCTGCCACTTATAAATGAGCGAGTATTTATATTTTTCATTTTGCTGTTTCTATCGCAACTTTTGCCGAGTTTTGAGGAATATTTCCTTGCAAAAGAGCCGGGCCGGGCAATTTTCCATGCCAGGAAGCAGCTGCTCCCAGTGCACTTGGCACCGCAGAAGCCATCATTTAAATTACTGAATTTCAACTGCTCCGACATCAATCAACAGCGTCCAGTGGAGGTATTAGTTTTAGCCGGGAAACTTTATAATTGGGCGCCATAAGGAGAGTGCCGAGTGCAAGGTGAAGTAATTAAAGGCGAGCAAGGCATTGGCCCGAAAAATCCCCTAATCAAGCAAATAAATTGGATCTTAGCCCGAGCTTTGTGCCACTTTCAATAAACTTTCCAGACGCACCGAAAGTTTTCCAGTGCAAACTCCCAGCAGAGAGCAACAATTAGCTAACCAGACTAATCAGGCCTTTGAAGTAGCATCCTAAATGCACGTATTCATTAGTATCTGCCTGCCCCCCAAATGTCTGTTGCATATTGAAATGGACTCAAATTGTGTCCTGGCATATGTGATTAGTAATTCAGTTCGACTGATGCGATGCTCGTCGTGTATCCTTTCAGGCGACCGGAAACAGGAAGCTCTTGCAACTCTCGTTGCAATTAATTTCGAATTTTTGCAATACGCTTTCGTAACTCAGTCAGGAAATCGACAGATCCGATTGCCATTAGATGCAGTGGCTCCCTTGAGGGAATCTACATTCGTATTTATTTTTGGTTCACCCCAGACAAACTTCAGTCACAAGTAACATAATTAATAGTTTTTCATTCACAGCTCCGATTGAAATTGCTATTTATATTCCACAAAGCCGGACATTAATCTCCTCTGTAAGCTCCAATGAAATTGTGGCAGCAATCCGCATTTTGTCAGTAAGTGTCCATTACTGGAGGAAAATGAAATGGGAAAACCCACA